CGATCATGCCACCGGGTTGACGAAAGCTTGGCAACACCTTAGGCTTGTTTATTGAATCTTCGACGCTCCGGAATCAATGGGTAGAGCCCTTGAACGCATCTACCTCGATAGAGTACTTTCTTTGTTGTCTGATCCTTGATCAAAAAGAAAAAAAGGATGAAACTCTAGAAAGACATGATTATCAATGGCAATTCTATGAACAGAGAGAAGATTCATACTAGCACTAGGGACATGCAAGATTTTTCTAAGATGAAGTTTGCGATGGGGAGTTTTAATAACTGTATGACCAACGTGACGAATCCTCATACCTGCTCCACTGGCAGTGTGGATTTGGTCCTTTCCGTGGTACTTCTCCCGCGTGGTCACCTTCTCGAGCTCGCTGGTAATGTGTTCGGTCGCCCCGCTGTCGACATACCAATTGGTATCGACGCCGTAGGAGCCATCAGCAGCGGCAGCCACTTTGTCCTCGTCCTGGTCGGAGTCATCATCGTCGTCGTACAGGTACCAGCAGTCCCGAGCGCTGTGCCCGAGCTTGCCGCAGATCTGACAGCGCGGTGCATCTGGACGTGCTCTGTTGGAGCCGCGGCCGCCACCACCGCCGCGTCCCTTGGAGTTGGTGGAGAGGGAACGGCCGGCGCGTGGAGTTGAGGAGTTGCCGCTGCCACCAGATCGGGCCTTGCCGCGAGGAGGGCCATCGCGGCGGCTGCCGCGGCCACGAGAGGCGGCGTTCGCAGAGGACTTGAAACCACCCGACCCCTGGTAGAGTGCCATGCGCTGATCGAAGTTGCTGAGCATGGTGAACAACTCATCCAGGGTGACGGGAGAGGTGCGAGCGTCAAGGGCCGACACCAGGGGCTGGTACTCCATGTCCAGCACGTGGATGATGTAGGAGACGATCTCGTCGTCTTGGAGAGGTTTGCCGACCGCGACGAGCTCATCGGTGAGGCCGCGCATGTGGGCGAAGAAGGTGGCGACCGGCTGGGTTCCCTTCTGCGCATGAAGCAGAGCCGTGCGGATGTTGTTGATGCGGCTAAGCGACTGCAAGGAGAACATGGCCGCCAGGGTTGTCCATAGCGCGTGCGTCGTGGTGATCGTGGTCACCTGCACCAACACCTCTTTGGAGAGATTGTTGAGCAGGTACCCGAGTACTTGTTGATCCTCCCGGACCCAGATTGGGTGGAGAGGGTTGGGCTCGGTGGAGTCCTCGCCGTCCTTGTCCTTGCCAGGAAGGAAGCGGGCTGGCTCCGGCGTGCTGCCGTCGGCATAGCCGAAGACGCCAGCTCCCCTTCGCTATGGCGTGATCTAGACGCGCCACAGTACGTAGTTCGTACGGGTGAGCTTCTCCGTGACCTGATTGTTGAGGCCGATCTGGGAGAAGCCGGAGGAAGACATGCTAGGCACTAATGGAGATTTGGAAAGCTAGATGTATTGGAAGAGGGATGCTCTGATTACCATGTGCGACAGGAGGAAAGCGTCTTACCTCGTTGGAGGGACGCGTTGCATGTTTATATGGCAGGGGCGCACCTCCCTGGATAACGGCGCATACAAGAGTTTGTTAAGATTACATTGCTTGGAGAGCAAGGGATAAGAGAGAGGAAGAGTTCGGTTATATCCACCGAAACCACTTAAACATCTATCCCTAGTCTATCTCTACAATGCTACGTTTAACAGGCAATACACATGGGAAAATAATTAGGAGAATCCAACATATGAGAAGTTGGGTCGGGTTCTAGCCAGTGTGGAATGGGAACAAAAATTTCTCCTTCTACCGATGTGAGCGATACAAGGGGCATGATATGGCCAAGGCGAGAAATATGAAGTTGGTTTTGTGTCTTTTTGAACAATAGTCCTATCCCAAAATAAACTTCCACAAAGTGAATTGTTTTGCTTTGGACGCGTCAAAGAGGAACAAAATAACTACAGCCAGTTCTTTGGTTGTGAGATTGGATCACTACTGTTTAGTTATCTAAGGGATTCCAATTCAGTACTGAAAATTAATGAACAAACGAGGGAAATGTAGTGAGGAATGTTTTGAGAAGAAGCTTGTTGGAAGGGCAAGCTTATGTCTTATGTGGGTTGGCTCATACTCATAATCCCCTGCTTACGATTAAGATTGGACTTCTATAAATCACGGTTCTTGGGCAAAGGGATGAGCATAAACTGAAGTCTAGGTTGGCTAAGTGAGATATATTGTGTAGGCCAAAGGACCGAGGGAGTTTGTGTATTGAAAACTTGAAGGTTACAAATAGGTGTCTTCTTAGTAAATGGCTTTATCAGTTATAATATGGGGAGGAGGGGTATAGATATAGTTATTGTGAAGCAAGTATCTATTTTCCAAGGCCTTATCACAAGTAATGGCACAGCCAAATGATTCACTCTTTTGGAAGGTTCTTATGAGAACTAAGGGCATCTCCAACGACAACCCTAAAAAACCTCCCGCATCCGTCCGCGGACAGGGGGGCCAGTCCACGAACATGGATGCGAGAGGAAGCTATCCAACACTAGCCCATGCATTTTCACAACAACTCAAACCAACCGGATGAAATTCGTACAAACAAGTGCGGATTTCATATAAACATGGCCTGATTTTATATAAACATGCCATATTTCATATAAACATGACAGATTTTATTACAAATACATGAAAGCGGTCCTAGGCGGGCTAATATAAATGATCGTCGGTGTCCGGTCCCCGTCTCTGGCCATCAACCAAGAGAACGGAAGCTTCACCTTTTCCAGCCCCGCCTCCGTGACCCCCGCCTCCCGAGCCCCAGGAAGTGAAGTTGTCCGCCTCAACGTCGCCGCCAAGCGACTAATTGGTCGTCGATGCTGAGCCCACCAAGTTTGGCGTCGACGGGAGGGGAGGAGCGGTGGCCTTCTTGGGACCCGAGCGGCAGCGACCTACCGTGCAGTACTCTTCCTCGCCAACGGCGTCGCCTGCCGACGTGTCGGCTTCTTCATGGTCATGGTACCGGGGCGCGACCTCCTCATCGCCGGTGTCACCGAACAACGCCTCGCCCGCGTCGTCCTCCAGCTCCATGCCGACGGCCGCTGCCTCTGCCCGCTGCCGGTACCGCCACTGGGCGAGGCGGATCTCGCGGGCAGAGCGATAGGACTCAAGCAGCACCTCCTGCTCCGCCAGGTCCGCGTCCGGCGTGACCGCCTTGCCGACGGTGACCTACTCCTCCGCCTGCAGATGCTCCTGGAGGAGGCCGTGGTTGTAGTTGGCGTCGGCCTGCACCTCCCAGAACTACTCCTCCCGCTCCTCCAGCACCATGTTCATATAATGGGCACGGGCCTCGCCAATGGTCAGGGTGCAATGCACCGGCGAGGGTGCCACGGAGGAGGTGGTGGGCGGCAGACAGACAGACGAGTGGCGCCGGAGGAGACGCCTCGGCAACCGCGTGCCATCAATGCGGACGACGGACGGACGGACGGGCAGCCATCGTGTCTTTTGAATGCGCGGCAGTCGCCTGCACCGGTAAGCGGCGCGGTCGGCGTTGGAGATGCCCTAAGGTCGCCTTTTTAATAGGTGGAAGTTTATATTATTGAAAATTAGCGTACAAGTAGGTTGTGAGAGGGTACTTGGCTGGTAAAGACACCTCTAGCCTTATAGTATCACCGCTTTATAATATTGTATAGCGTCTTTATTTGTGAGTACAATATTAAGATCATTTCCCCTAAATATCCAATTCAGTCGAACACATGTTAGGGAAAGATGGAATCAGTGGATGCATTTAGTTCAAAGGTTGATGGAGGTCGCCTTATCTAATGAGCCAGATGCATTCAGATGGACTATTTATGTTTCAGGCGTATTTTTCAGTTAAATCTATGTATATGGACTTAATTAATACTGGATCAATCCTTGAGTCTATTCATATCCAAAAGAACAAATGTGACTTTAAAGATCGAGATTTTTATGTTGTTTGTCTAGTGTGATTCCAATACAGGACAATTGCAAAACGTAGGTGAGAAGGAAGTAAACGTTGTTGTTTCCGTGACCAAGAGAGAATGATCCAACATTTATCTTTTAAGTACCAACTAGCCAAGTTATTACAAATAATACATGTCATGTAAGGTACCTTCACTTAATAGTATAGCCAGTATGTTTGTTAATTGGCATGAATTAGTGTGGGAGTTTGTGCATTATTTTGGGTTATTTGGAACTGTTGGAACGATTGCATGTTTAATAAAGACAAATATTACGATTTTTTTCTAGGTTATCTACCGAGCATCTGGATGGATCTATACGTGATCATTACTACATCATGTGAAAGCGAGGGGGCTTAATTATGACCTCTGGGTGCAACCAATGAAAGACAATAACACGGCTACATGCAACCAATTTGAATGACAATTTAATAATAAGATAGATGTTTAGTCATGTTGTCTTTTTTTACCGGGTGTGCCTATTGCTTTATTTGTTTTATAACTTGTCGTTGATTGGCTGCTGAAATGTTCTCTATTCGTTTTAATAAATGATTGTGTGGATTGATTGATGCAGTGGCCGAAGATATATAAACCTCTTTTTGAAAGAAAAAAAAATCTCTAACGAGCCCACCCCGATGTTTCTTCCCTATACTTTGCACCAACCATTCCACGGCAATTTTTTTTTTAAATTAGACCACTTTCTTTTTGGCAAGGAAGACTAGACCACATTTTGGCAAGGAAGTCAAGGGTGCAAGGCAGTTGATCATCCACCGCTCCAAGCCTCCACCCGATTATTCTGATCTACTCCCTCCGTTCCTAAATACTTGTCTTTCTAGGCATTTCAACAAGTGACTACATACGGAGCAAAATGAATGAATCTACACTCTAAAATATGTCTACATACATCCGTATGTAGTAGTCATTTGAAATGTCTAGAAAGACAATTATTTAGGAACGGAGGGAGTAGTCTGCTTGACTTCACCACAGATGCTTACTGATTTGCTATATATGACCGCTCCGCAGCGAGAGCATCCACCCCGAATTCCCAGCGCAAAGCTCGCTCACTCCCTATGTTCATCATGCCTCTCCTCCTCATAGCTTTCACCTCACTCTTCTTCTACCTGAGCGCCCCTCCAAGTTTCGCCGCCGCGACGGCCACCATCTTACCCGGCCAAGCACTTGCCGTCGGCGACAAGCTCGTCTCCGAAAACGGCAGGTACGCGCTCGGCTTCTTTGACACAAGCAGCACCAAATCCCCCCAGAGCACCAGTAGCTGGCACCTAGGCATATGGTTCAACACAGTCCCCAAATTTGCTTCCGCTTGGGTTGCGAACAGAGAGAAGCCAATCAAAAACACCACCTCGCTGCAACTCACAATCTCCACCGATGGCAACCTCGTCATCCAAAACCGCTCCACCAAGTCCATATTCTGGTCCACCCAAGCAAACGTGAAAAGAAACGGCACCATTGCCATGCTCTTGAGCAATGGAAACCTCATCCTAAGGAACTCCTCAAACTCGTCGCACATCTTGTGGCAAAGCTTTGACGACCCCATGGATACACTTTTACCCGGGGCGAAGCTTGGATTCGACAGGCTAACCGGCCTGGATCGTCGTCTGGTTTCATGGAAAAACAGGGTCAGCCCGGCTAGTGGTGCGTACTGCAACGGGTTAGACCCCAGCGGTGCAGACCAGTTCTTGCTTACACGGCTCGACTCCTCCATGTCATATTGGTCAAGCGGTGTGTGGAACGGGAACTCCTTTGTGTCGTATCCTGGGAATAATACCCCAAACCAGGCTTCTTACAATTTGACTTTTGTTGACAATGAACGAGAGAAGTATGTCGTTGAGAGCTTAGCCGACGAGAATGCGGTTTTTCGGCATGTAATTGATGCCTCTGGTCAGGCCAAGGGGTACGTTTGGTATGAGGGCTTGCAAGATTGGATACTGGCCTACAACCAACCAAAAGCTCAGTGTGATGTCTACGCGGTTTGTGGACCTTTCACAATCTGCAACGATGACGACCTTCCAAACTGCATCTGCATGGATGGCTTCACCATAACATCTCCTCTGGATTGGGAGCTAGAAGATCGAACCGCTGGGTGCTTGAGAAAAACTCCATTGCACTGTATTACTAACAAGAACACAACCTACTCGACAGATCAGTTCGCCTCTTTGCCATGTGTTAGGTTGCCCAAAAATGCCAGCAAAGTAGAGATTGCCAGAAGCGCCGAAGAGTGTGCACAAATTTGCCTGAATAATTGCTCTTGCACTGCTTATTCCTTCGGGGATGAAGGATGCTATATCTTGCATCACGAATTGATCAACATAGCACAATTACAATGTGGTGGCACAACGAAGAATTCAGATGGAGAAACACTTTACTTTCGCCTTTCTGCTCAAGATGTTCAAAGTTCGAAAAATAACAGAAGGCAGACTGTTGGAGTTGTGGTTGGCACAGGCCTTTCCGCTCTAGGCTTATTTGGACTCGGTCTCCTCCTAATGATTTGGAGAAACAAAAGGAAGAGATCTCCTCGCAAAACTTACGGTAGTGATGGGGGGAGAATCATTGCATTTGAATACACTGACTTGCAACGAGCAACAAAATATTTCACTGATAAATTGGGGGGAGGTAGTTTTGGTTCTGTGTTCAAGGGGTTTCTAAGTGATTCTCATGCCATAGCAGTGAAGATGCTTGAAGGTGCATATCAAGGAGAGAAGCAATTCCGAGCCGAAGTGAGCTCAGTTGGAGCTATCCAACACATCAATTTGGTCAAGCTAGTCGGGTTTTGCTGCCATGGTCCGAAAAGACTGCTGGTTTATGAACACATGCCAAATCGGTCGCTTGACATCCATCTTTTTAAAGACGATTCCACGATATTGAATTGGACTACCAGGTATCAGATAGCCCTTGGAGTTGCTAGAGGGTTAGCATACATGCATGAGAGCTGTCGAGACTACATCATACATTGTGATGTCAAGCCAGAAAACATACTTCTCGATGCTTTATTTGTTCCTAAAATTGCAGATTTTGGGATGGCAAAGATTTTGGGAAGGGATTTCAGTCGAGCACTGACCACAGCCAGAGGCACGATAGGGTACCTTGCCCCTGAATGGATTTATGGTGTTGCTATCACGGCAAAAGTTGATGTTTATAGCTATGGGATGGTGTTGCCGGAAATAATATCCGGAAGGAGAAACTCGGATGCATCATGTTCCAGCGGTGGGGACCTTGGTGTTTTTTTTCCCGTGCACGCCGCGCGTAAGCTTCTTGAAGGAGACATCAAGAGTTTAGTAGATCACAAATTGCAAGGTGATGTCAATCTTGCTGAGGTTGAACTAGCTTGCAAGGTTGCGTGTTGGTGCATACAAGATGAAGAATTCGACCAGCCAACAATGGGAGAGGTGGTTCAGATTCTTGAGGGACAGGTTGAAACCAGGATGCCACCGATGCCAAGATTACTTCAAGCTGTGGCTGGAAGCTCCTGTTCAACGTGTTCGTAAACACACTTGAGTGACTAGAGATGTCGTCATGATCATACCTATGTCTATGTTAAAAAAATAGAGTTTTACTTATCCTACAAATGTAGTGTACTTATCATGGCCGTATAGTTCTATCCATGTATTTCAAGTTGCATGTAACAGCTTCAATGTACTATATCTGATTATCTGCAGTTCTCCAATATATATAGTGGTACTGATGTGGTAGAGCTGAAAGTAAATCTCTTTTTTTTTTCTTTGCTTTGAAAGAGCTGGCTGGCCAGTGGCCTGGTCACTGTGCCGCCGTTGTGGTGAGATGTCGCTGGTGACTCTGTAAATGGTGTAGCTCCTCCAATGCTCTGGATTTTCTGATGCTGGTATATGAATGAGACTCGTAAATCTATCTATGTCTGACTCTCCTCCAATGCTCTAAAATTTCTGCTGCTGATACTTCATACCTGGGAGGCTGAGACAGCCGTTTGCGTTATGCAGCAGAAGTGGCAAAACTGAACCTACTGAAAGTTGTCTTCTTTTGAATTGAACCCGACACTTCGAAAAAAAATTACAGAGATAATGAGTTATTGGGACACATAGGCATGCTCGATTAAACTTAGAAAACACATTCAGCCCTCCTTTGGTTGACAAGAATTTTCATAGGAATTTTTGTAGAAAATGTTTTTTTATTCCCTTTGATTTGTACGAACAGATTCCTATTCCTATGTAGGATAAAAACAAATCATTCACATTTTAAAGAAAAAAAATACACTAGCCTAGACTCAAGAGTGTGGTTGTTCTACACCTACGAACATTGCACTCCCGCTACACCCATGATAAAAAACTTAGCAAAACAAACCATTTTTTTTGCAGATTCCATTATGAGCAAATGTTTTAGGTGCTTACAAAATTTTGTGGGCAAATGACATCCGAGGAGCTCTACACAAAAAAAAACAAAGTTTGTGCTCAAATATAAAATCTGAAACGTGGATGCAGAGTAAGAGTTTGTATTTCATTTCATATGGAGATCATTCAATGTTATTTTTGGTGACCAAACTTTGCAAGGTTGTAAAGCATTTGCTCATAATCAATGCCACAAAGTTTCATTTTCTTATTTATTTTCTATTTTACTGTTCATTGAGTTGGTGCACCAAACATGGGTGCAGCCACTGCTTTCCTCTAGACTCAATGAAAAAAAATCATACATGCATCAAATGTCATCTCAATCCCTGTAGAAAATAAGATACACTCATTTTCTCTGGTCTTTCTATTTTCATTGTATTTCTGTCCTACGAACCAAAGAAGGCCTCAACTTTCCTAGTTGGCACAAAGGAAGCGACTATTTTCGTGACCCTGAAAAGAGTAGCACAGACGATCTTTGGACCCCAAAAAAGGGAACAAGTTACCTGGCCAAGTTACCCAAGTGGTCAAGTCATCTAATCCGCACTAGACTCTCGACGTAATTAGTCAGATGCAAAACCACCTCCTTCTCCGACCTATAATAACGGCACCTCGCGTCTGGAACACCTGAAGAAATCTTCTCGATCTCACCGGTCCGGTCGTCGTACCGGTGCACGTTCCGCTCCTCCGTCAGAAGCCACGCCCCCTCGTGAAGAACGACTCTGGGAGGGCTCAGAGCCCTGCACTCGGCCAGCTCCGTGACCAGATCAGGACCGATCGCCGTGGGCCCGTGGCCCAGCGTCGACTCCATCTCCACTCGGGCTTCCCGTCAACCCCGCCGTCGAGGCTCAAGCTCCAGAGCTCGACGTCCAGGTTGCTGTAGCCGAAGCAGACGCAGCACAGCTCGCCCCCCAGCTCCGCGAGGCGGGCGGGCCGGAGACCAGACGGCGCGCGGGAACGGGACCAGGCTGAACTCCTCGTCGGCCAGGCTGAACCGGAGGAACACGTCCGGCGGGTCCGGGTGGGCTGGCGTGCCGTCGCATGTCCAGTAGATGTGACCGTTGACGTGGGCCGGAGTTCGTCCGCAGATCCAGTGTGGCGGGGCCGCCGTCTGCCTCCATGCGCTGTCGGCGCCGAGGGTGAGCACCTCGAACCTGCACGCCAGGCCGTCGGCGAGCGGCTGGTAGAAGAACCTCGCCACCTTGTACCTCTTGCTGCGGGGGTCGAACACGAGCCCCGCCCTCGGGAACGTGTACACGCAGTGTCGTGGTTCTAAGCCTGACAGTAGAGTGGGGGTAGGTATGGAGAGGCAAGGTCCTAGCTATGGAGAGGTTGTAAACACAAGGGATGTACGAGTTCAGGCCCTTCTCGGAAGAAGTAATAGCCTTATGTCTCGGAGCCCGGAGGCGGTCGAGTGGATTATGAGTATATGAGTTACAAGGTGCCGAACCCTTCTGCCTGTGGAGGGGGTGGCTTATATAGAGTGCGCCAGGACCCCAGCCAGCCCACGTAGGAGAGGGTTTAAGGTGAATTAAGTCTGGGGCGTTACTGGTAACGCCCCACATAAAGTGCCTTTACTATCATAAAGTCTACTTGATTACAGGCCGTTGCAGTGCAGAGTGCCTCTTGACCTTCCGGTGGTCGAGTGAGTCTTCGTGGTCGAGTCCTTCAAGTCAGTCGAGTGTGTCCCTCGTTGGTCGACTGGAAGGTGACTTCTTCTAAGGGTGTCCTTGGGTAAGGTACTTAGATCAGGTCTATGACCCTACCCTAGGTACATAACCCCATCATTAGCCCCCGAATGGATTGAGGCTTCGAGTGAGGAAGGAGTTGATGTTGTTTCCGATTAACCTTTGCGCTCTGGTCGTGCGTTGTCTTGGACCAAAGAATCTCTTCGTTGACAGTGAGCAACTTGTCTTCAGTCGACTCGATCCATTCTATTTTTGCGTCGAGTGATCTTTCGGGCTTCGACGATCTCCGAGCGACGGATCGCCGGAAACACCGCGTCTGACAGACTGATCTGCTGTTCGCGGATTCCGTGGGATGCGAAATTTGGGGACGCGCGCGAAGCGGGGCGGACCGCGGCGTTCGGATGGGACGGGGCATAGACGCCTCGATCTCCGCGCCGCTTTTTTCGCCACGTATCCCGTCTGCATAACTGCTCCCGGATATGATTAGATCGACCGGGCCCACCTGTCATCCACTCGGAAGGGACCTTATAAATGCGCCCGGCGAGGATTTCTGTGCTGCGCCTCAGCATTCTCTCTCTCTCTCTGCTCCCTCCTTCCCCGCCCAGCGTGCTCGCTCTCGCCCCCGCACCACTTCCTTTCGCGCATCTCGCCGGCAACCATGGCCAAGGAGAAGACGGCGGCGCTGGAACGTGCGAAGAAGGCGTCGGCGTCGGAGAAGGTAAAGGGGAGATCCACCAGCCGCGGAGGGTCCTCGTCCAGATCCCGCCTGCCGAAGGGCTGGGTCCAAGGAGACTGGATCCAGTCGACCATCACAGAGAATGACCTCCTCGACATGGCCAACGAGGGCTTGATCCCTCATGGAGCTGCGAGGCTTCCGGGGAAGGAGTGGCAGCCCCAGCCAGAAGAGGGTGTGTGCTCTTGGCCACCCATGTTGATCGTGGATTTTCCTTGCCGCCGAGTGTTTTCTTCCGTGGCTTCTTGAATTTCTTTGGAGCTCAGCTCCACCACTTTACCCCAAACTCTATTGCCTATCTTGCCGCATTCGTGTCCATGTGTGAGGGTTTCTTGGGCTGTCGACCGCACTGGGGTCTGTTCAAACATATATTCACGTGTCGCTCTCAGACCGTGAAGAAGGCGAGCCCAGGTGATGAGAGAACCCGAGTCGTCCAAATGTGTGGGGGTCTGGGGATCCAGGTGAGGAATAAGAGCACCTTCCCGCCCATGACCTTTCCCGAGTCAGTCAGAGGCTGGCAGTCGACCTGGTTCTACTGCCGGGACCAGTCGACGCCGGGACAGTCGAGTGGACTCCCACAGTTTACCATGGACCGAGTGAACAAGCCCTCCTCTCTGAAGTTGATTCCGGAGGAGAAAGCTGATGTGAAGATGTTGATGGAGCGCGTGGTGCAGTTGGTTCGGGAGGGAGTGACGGGCATGGACCTCCTGGAGGTCTTCCTCAGGCGTCGCATCCAGCCCCTTCAGTTCCGGAGCCACTGCATGTGGTTGTACTGTGGGACCGAAGACGAGACTCGAGTCCATCCAGAAGCAGTCGACGATGTCACTCTGGAAAGATGGATGGTAGCCGTTACCGGAAACAAGGACAACCCACGCGGAGCCAGAAGGATTCCTCCACTCGACCACAACAGCGATCCAAACAAGGTACACTTGCTCTGCTCTCCACTGCGTTCCTGTCGCATTCATTTCTGTTTACCCTGCCGACTGGTCGACTGATCCTTGTCTTGATATCTGCTAGGCCCTCACCGAGCTATACTCGATGCCCAATGGGGCACAAGCTCCGACTGAGGAGGGTGAGGCGAGTGGGGGCGAGAGCCAGGACGAGGAGGAATGGGACTCGGACGTTGGAGAGGATGATGATGACGATGATGATGATGACGGTGGTGAAGACGACGTTGAAGACGAGGAGGAAGAGGAGGAGGAGGTCGTACCACCACGCTCGGAAAGGCGGTCGAAGCTCGTCCACGACCCTTCGACCGAACATGGTAAGGGGGTTGCGACCACCACTCAGTCGACCAAGCGTCCTCGGACCATCTCTCCGGTGCCGACTGAAAAGGCGCCGAAGCAGCCCAGGGCGGCCCCGTCGAAGCCGACCAAGCTCCTGCCGAAGATGAAGGTGTCCATCCCCACCATTTCAGGGTAATCGTGCTGCTTAAGTCTCTTATTTTGTGTGAACTTTGTCTCTGGTCGACGCTGAAGTTAGTCGACTGATCCTTTGGAGTTGCAGTGCTGCTACTTCTGAAACCTCGGCCCGGGCTGATGACCACGAGATGGAGGACGCAGCAACTTCGAAACCAGGTACTGTATTCTTAACGCCGTTCTTAGTCGACTGACTCGCGATCTCTGATCCTGATTCTTCTCCGTAGCTCCACCCAATGTTGTTATCGATCTCCCTGATGATGATGAGGATGAAGAACCACTGAAGCGCAG